ATTGAGCCTCAGTCCATACTGAAAGCTGCAGTCCTTGACCCTCTGCAGTAAGTGCATGAGGTCCTCCTCAGTTTCAGCGAGCAAGGTTGTGTCATCTGCATAACGTAGATTGTTGATAGATCTTCCACCAATCCTAACACCACGCATCTCCTCATAGAGCCCAGCCTCTCAGATAATCTGCTCTGCATACAGGTTGAAAAGGTTTGGAGATAGGAAACATCCCTGGTGCACAGCACACCCCTCCCAATTTTGAACCATTCAGTGTTGCCCTGCTCTTACCATAATAAATTTATTTTCAATAAAACAACTTAATTAAGAAGTTCTTTCTTTTTCTAATACTTACTCTGCCCAAATGTTGACGTTGTGCCAAAGCCTCCTGTGCCACCCCCAAAGGGTGTTCCAAATGATTTATTAAACATCCTCAAAATGAGCCTGTGCTTCAGAAATCTGCAGAGAGAAAGTAAAAACATATGTGTCATAGAAAAGTTCACAGAATATAATTCACTCCCAGAAAATGTTTATTAGATGGTGGTTCAGTGGTATAATGTGAAGACAGTATTCAATTCCTAGACTGATGGAGACCTACCTCCTGCTGTGATTTGAAACAGATTTCAGCAGACCTTTCAGACTTAGAACAACAGCCTAAAATGTCTACTTCTGACAATTAGCTAAAGAAAACCTTACAGATCTCTATAGTCCAAAGTGCAACCAATTGCAGCGAATCTGCTCCACTGTACATGAGATTAGCAGCAGTAATTCAACAAACTGTTGTAACTGTTCAAAATTGTGGCATAAATTTTATTCTCTTTATCTTAAAATCTGTATTTTAGTACGTCTTATAAAACTGTCTGTATAAGGCATTGTAAACCTACAACCATCCCTTTAAACAATGCTTTTCAACCTTTCCTATCGAAATAAAAAAAAATACTATCACGTTGATTCCTACTCATAGCAAGTAAAATGTCCCCACAGTTTCCAAGGCCATAAATCTTTTTTCTACCAAGGAGCAGTCAACAGGTTCAAAATATTTGACTTTTCAGTTGGCAGTAAACTGTTTTAACTGCTGTGTATAGGGCTCCTTTTTTATTTTAAAACTCAAACCCCCATTTAATAAAGATTTCAGATAAACTATGCCATATTTTTATAAATAACATAGGTTATATATTACACTCATCAAAAATTACAGCCATATTCCGGTATCCCAACTATCTGAAAATACTAGATATCTAATACTAAAATAGCGTTTTATCACATTTTCTTTTCTATAGTACGTATTATTAAAAATTATCTTCTCAGGGGAGCTCTAGTGGCCTAGTGGTAAGGAGCTGCAACTACAATCCCAGAGGCACATGGTTCGAAGCCACCAGATGCTCTGCCGGGGAAGGAGGGACAATCTCCTCCTGTACCAGTCAGATCTGATTTGACGGTCCACTCACACAAAAATAATAAAATAAAAATTTTTTTAAAAAATCTTCTCTATTTTTAAGAAATCAAATGTTGTAATAATAAATATATTTCACACTTTGGTAAAATCCATGAAAGCAGAATCCGATACAAGGCAGAAACTTCTTGTTGTTTATGCTGTCGAGTTGCCTGCGACTCATATAGACCCTATGTACAACAGCCCTAAACCATTCTCTATCCTGTGCCAATCTTACTGTCTCTGACACACCTACCCCCGTTACCCCAGTTAATCAATCCATCTCACTGAGGGTCTTTCTCTCTTGCGCACTGTCCCGCTACCCTCCCAAGTATGAGGTCCCTCTCCAAGGACTGGTCCCACCTTAAAATATGCTCAAAGTATGTCAGATGGAGCTTCAAAATCCTAGCCTCCAAAAAGCAGCCTGGTTTCACCCTCTCCAGGATAAATCTGTCTGTTCTCCTGGCAGTCCGTTCAATAATCTTTTCCAACACCTCAAAGGCATCAATTCTCCATCTATCATTCCTAGTCCTTGTCCAGCTTTGTAATGAATAGTAAGTAACTGTGAGGATCATGGCCTGGATCAGGCACACCTTAGTCTCCAGAATGACACTATTGCTCTTCAGTACTCTGGAGTGGTGCCTGTCAGCAGACTTTCCCAATGCAATTCGTCTTCTGATTTCCTAACTGCTGGTGCCAAAGTACTGATTGTGGAAGCAAGCAAACTGAAGCTTTTAGCAATCTCACTCTCTACACCCATCCATCATGATGCTGCCAATGGTTCCTCAATCCATATTAAAGGCTGCTGCAAATGCCTCAGGCCCTCCTCAGTTTCAGTAAGCAAAGTTGTGTCATCCGCATAACAGAGGTTGTTGATGAGTCTTCCTCCAACCCAGGTGCCACATTCCTCCTCATAGAACCCATCCTCACAGATGATCTGTTCTACATATAAATTGAAAAGGTATGGAGATAGGAAACATTCCTGGTAAACACCCATCTCACTTTTGAACCATGCAGTGTTTCCTTGCTCTGCTTTGACAACTGCCTCCTGGTCCAAGTATAGGTTTCACATAAGTACAATCAAGTGTTCTGGAATTCCCATTCTTCTCAGAGGCAGCCACAGTCTGGTGTGATCCACACAGTCAAATAAATGCCTTTGCAAAGTCAATGAACCACAGACAGGCATTCCTCTGGTACTCTCTCCTTTCACCCAAGATCCATCTAACACTAGCAACACTGAATATATTGGTTACTTCTATAATTGGGAAATGTCTTTCATCTGCTCCTTTATGTAAAATGCTCATCCTATCAGGTACTGTTTTAAAGCTGAGAAAGGAGGACTGGTCATCCATTTCCGAAATCATAGGTCTTCAAAAACCCTATGTAAGCATGCTTAGAGTAGACTAGCAGATATGGCAACTGAGGCTGAGCCCTCAAATATGGAAGCAAAAGGAGGAGGAACAGTTATAAGCAGACGTTAATGTCTGGAACATGGAATGTGAGAAGCACAAATGTAGAAAAACTGGACATTGTTAAGAAATAAATGAAACACATAAATATTGACATACTAGGTACTGGAGAAAATGAGATGGAATGACATGGGACATTTTGAATCAGACAATCATATGATGTACAGTGCCAAAGATGAAAAGGTGAGGAAAAATAGGGTTGCTTTCATAGTTAAAAAAGTCATTTCTAGATCTATCTTGAAATACAATATTGTGAGTGACAGGATAATATCCATACACATACAAGAAGTCCAGTGAATATCACTAACATTAAAATATATGTATCAACAACCAGAGCCAAAGAGAACAAAATAGAAGATTTCTATCAAATTTTACAGTCAGAAATCGACCAAACATGTAATCAAAGTATAATAATAGTAATAATAAATAATGGAAGCCAGAATGCAAAAGTTGGGAATAGGAAAGAAGGATCAGTAGTTGGAAAACATGGCTGTGGTGAGAGAAATGAGGCTAGAGATAAAATGAAGAATTCTGTACAATCAATGATTTATTCACTGCAAATTCCTTTTCTAAGAAACATAAATGCAAACTACACACATGGATTTCACCTGATAGTATACACAGGAATCAGACTGATTTCATCTGTGGAAAGAATTGCTGGAGAAGCTCAGTCAACTGTAAAAAATTAAAGCTAAGGAAGGTTAAATCAAATCTACACAAACCAAAATTTGACCCTGAATTTCAACACCATCTCAGGAAGAGGTTTGAGGCCTTAAAACACTTATGCGTGAAGACCTGATAAGCTGTTAGAGACTATCAAGAGTATCAGCCAGGAAGAATGTAAAAGGTAATTACAAAGACAGGAGGAAGAAAAGATGAAGATGGATATCAGAAGAAACTAGAACAAAGAGAAAACAAACCAAAGAGAGGAAATCAAGAAATTAAGGAGCTAAACGGAATCTTTCTAAGGGCAGAAACCTGTTAGAGAAGGAAAAACTCACATTTTCTAAAACAAGTGATAGAAAACTCCTGAGACCCAGAAAAACATGGCAATGCCACTGAGTTCAAGTACTCAAAATTTCACTATGTATACTCCTTACACTTCCAATCTGTGATCCAGGTACTCATTCTTCTAGAAAGTACTTCTTAAGACTGTTGTGTACTGTCAAGTTAGAACTGACCCATATTACGCAACAATGAAAGAGTGAACTGGGGGGAGGGGGTAGGGAGGAAAATGTGCAACAATTAATGAATGGAAATCCAAGTTTTCTATAAACTTTCATTAAAATCTCAATTAAAATATTTAAAAAAAGAACTTAACCATAGCTGATCCTTCTTTCAGAGGCAGTAAATTCCACGAGAAGAGACTGCCAATCCTTTATCCACGTAGCGGGAGGTAGATTCTAACTGCATGCATTTGGGAATGCAGTGCAGTTTCTTAACACTAGGCTACCAGAGCTCCCTTTTAAGATTATGATCTAATAAAACAACAACAAATGTCCCTTTACTTCTCGTTTTCTCTAAGAACATTACAGGAAACTTCCCCCCCCCAATTTTATTTTTTTCTTGTTGTATAGTGTTGAGTAGGATCTGAGTGGAACAGGAGACTGTCCCTCCTTCTCCAGCAGAGCATCTGGTGGATTGGAACTGCATGCCTTTGGAATTGCAGAACAGCTTCTTGCCACTAGGCTACCAGAGGAAACGTTTGATGGAAAGTTTCCATTGCATAGACTAATTTCCCTCCAGTGTTCAAAACTATGTGACCTCATGAATTGGGTAAAGTGTTGATGAAATTAAATGAAGAAAAATCACAATAATTACAATATCCTTCTCCACCTGGGTGAAAATGAGTTTTTTATCTAACTTCAGTTCTGTAAAGGCGATTCCAAATCACTAGGATCCTCCTCCAGGAGACTGTCCATCTTTCTTCTATAGAGCTATTGGTGAGTATAAACCACTGATCTTCTGGTGGGAAACCAACACATTATACAAATGCACATTATTATGCAAGTATAAAGGCTTTCCAGCTCCAAAAATTTTTCTTAAATAAAAGATGCCTGTTGTGACTTACACACAAACAAAAAAACTTATAAAGACCAAACCATTTTAAATATAGGGAGCTCTGGTGGCATACCCCATGGGGAGTTACACAGCCAACCCAAAAGTGGCACTTCTTTGCCAATTCGAATCCATCACCATCCATGAGAGAAAGATGGGTCATTTTCTCCTGTGCAATTTGCAACCTTGGAAAACCTGCTGGAGGGTCAGCTAAGTGTCAGTTCCAACTCTTGTACAGCAATGAGTTTAAGATTTTAGATTTTAGTATTTTAAATATAAGTATGCAAGGAGTCAGTCATGATTATTTACACTTCAACTTCAATCCTGCTTCTACCCTCGCCAATTGTTGTCAATTCCAATTCAGGACAGAGTAGAACTGCAGAGATGGTTTCCAAGGCTGTAAAACAGTCACGTAAACATTCTTCTCCTAAGGAATGGCTAGTGGGTTCATACTGTTTTCTACTAGCAGTTGAACATTTAAATACTGTGCCACCAGGGAT